GGGGGGGGGGTGGGGGTGAGGGGTGTTGAGTTTGAGCCATCTTCACTCCTGCCCCACTAGCTTCTAAACATACTTACCTGCTCCCGGGAGAAGGCTGTGACTAGGGTCAGGTAGCCCCTCTTCTCCAGTTCCTGCCACTCAGTCTGCCAGTAGAAGTCCTGATCCCGCTTTCGGCATCCAAAGAATAAAAAGTTTCCTGGGGTACACAGGGTGCTCCCCAGTCTGAATTCAGGCCCTTAGGATTCATCCAGACCACCCCAGTACTCAACCTGCCCTGGGACCCCTATACTTACCAGTCTGGCCCTGGGCTACACGCTCCTGAATGGCTGCTCGGAAGGGGGCCACACCAGTTCCAGGCCCCACCATAATAACAGGTGTGTCTGGTGTCTCTGGGAACACAAGGCCCCCAGGCCGCACCCATAGGGGCACCCGGACAGGTTGTGCTGCAGGAGGGATATAACATGAAAGGGACTTAGGGGACCAGGCTGAGGCATGCACTGAGGTCCAAGCCCAGCAGCAGCAGGGTCACAGAGAAGCTTGAGGCCACAGTCTCCTCAACCCCTAGAAACAGAAATTACCTTGCCCAGGATCCAGAGATGCCAGCCAGGAAGAGCAGAGGCCCCGGCGGGGCTCCTTGAGGCGAGTCTGGTACTGTACCACAGCTACAAGGATCTGTAGCCTTGTGGGATGAGCCTAGGGGGACAGAGAGTGCCCTGTCCTGCTAAGCCACTCCTGCTCGCCACCCACCCCAGGGAGTCTTCAGGTCTGCTCAAAGAGCCCCTCACCAGTAGGGAAGAGGCGATGGAGAAGGCCCGTGGGCGGATCTGTGGGATGAGGTCCAAGAGGTAGTCTGGTGGAATAGCGCAAGCCGTGTGTGGGAAGTCACATAGCACCTAGGTAGAGGGAGTCTTAGCAGGGTGCTGGTGTGCTAAGTCTCAGAGGCCTACACCACTTGCCTCCCCACCAGCTCACCTCCAAGATGGTCCTGCGAGGCCGGTTACAGTACTCCCAGAGCTCTTCCTGGCCTTGGGCAGAACTGAATTCCAGCAGCTTCTCCCGTTCCAGCCCATGTGGGGAGAGACAGGCTAAAAGCTCAAAGAAGGAACGGCGAGGCACACTGGTGATGTCCAAGTACTGGGACACAAGATGCTTCACAGAGCTGGGCTGGGGCAGCCCTGGTGGGCAGGGGACACCTACAGGGGTGGCAGGAAACGTGGTGGGCTAGAATGCCAAGTGGTGCCTCAGATCGTAGGGCTTGCAGACCCACACTTACCTGGTTCCCGTGACTGAAGCAGGAAGAACTGATCAGGGTCCAGGCCCAGGACGTGGCAGAACTTCTGGATGTGGGCCTCTGAGTTGGAGGGCAGAATTAACACCACATCACCAGCAGCAAAGCTGTATGAAAAGCCACTAGAGCTGTGGGAATGGTATGGGAAGAGCAAAGGAGCTGCAGGAAGGGAAGGGATGCATACTTTGGAGGAGAATGAAGAGACCCAGGAAACTGAAGAGGAAGAAAGTGACTATTAAGGGAAGGCTGGGAATCTCTGGGTAGAGGCCTCCAACCTGCTGAGCCACCTACTCCCTTGCTTTGGCAGACCCTTCTGAACCCCGATCTACTACCTACCTTTGTCCTGACCACACTGACTTCCTAGGACACCTGGGCATCCTGTCACCCCTACCCACCTGCTTGAGGTTCTGTACTCTGCTTGGACCCCTCACCTGATACTGGAGTCTGTGATGTCAAACTCTATCAGCCGAACATCCTGGAAATGTTGGGAGCCAGTGACCCTCTGGTTGGTGACCACAGGTGCCAGGAAGGGCTGTGACTCTGATGGGGGTCCCTGAGGCACTGTGCTGGCTATACTTGGCCCCTCAGTGCCTGTGCTAGGGGCCTCCTGGAGGAACTGGAAGGTGAACTTGGAAGGCAAGCTGTAGGGGAGAATGGAGGTAACAGATGTGGGCCTCTTTTCTGGGACCACTCAACCAAACCTTGGAGGGGACTAGGTCAAGGCCTCCTGGCACTCACACACCCAAGGCTCATACTCACGGGACTCCAAGAGGGATCTCAGGGAGGTCAGGGGGTACTGGGTTCAGACCCAGTACCTTCTCCCACAGGTCTCCCAGCCAGGGGTCAATGGCAGCATCAGGCCTAAGAGAGAGCACAGGCATTGGCCTCTGCTGGCCAGAGCCAAGATGGGGTGCCATGGAAGGGCACTGCTACCAACACTCACCCTAGCTCATGCTGGTCATCACCCAGACATGGGGGCAGGAGGGCACTGCCCCCTAGCTGCAGCAGCCGGCGGTGCAGCTTCTTAGCCACAAAGTTGAACCTGTGTGAACAGCAAGGCTGCCTGAGCCTGGGCTGTCCAGTGAGGAAAGGTGGTTCACCTGACCTCAAAGGCAGAACAAAATGGTACAGAGACTCCCTCAGGGGGTTCCTCCTGTAGTGGTACACACTGGCAAAACCCTAGGATGGGTGAAGGCCCTCAGCATGCTAGGGGCTAGAGATTAGGGCAGCTACCAGCACCATGAATAATAGCCTCAGATCTCCTGGAAGGTACTTATGAAGGAGATGGTCTCATCAGACCAACTCTCATCCTTGAATGGGACCTGGAACTGACCAAGGCCCTGGACGCCCTGGCCAGAGCTCTGGTCACTCTTGGGGGTGGGAAGCAGATGATCATGTATTCTTGTAAGAGAGTTTCCTTTCTTTGGTCTATAAAGGCTCACTGGTCCTGGTACCAGCCTGCTTTTTGGAGACCACATCCACAATTGGACTCCCTCCCACCTGCCCTGTGCATGTACACACTGTTAGTGAGCAAATCTCCAGCAGATCATGGCCATCACCATCTTCCCATTTCTATTCTTTTTGTTTGATTTAGTGAGACAGAATTCCACACTGTAGCCCAGGCTGGCCTGGAACTTGTGGTAATCCTCCTGCCTCAGCCTCCAGAGTGCCATCATGTTCAACTTTCATTTTCTGTTCTTTTAATCTGAGTAAGAGCCCTGACAGGCATATAACTTTTGAAGTGCTGGATGACACTGGGCCCTATGGACAGGCTGTTAAGCTTGTTGTATCTTTTAGCAGAAATCCCTCATTATCACCTTACTAAATAATACAAAGAGCACTACTTGCTCAGGATGTGGATGTGCCATGAAAACCCTGAAAGAGAAAACCTGGTGGCTGTCTCCCTGCCCAACACGTCACTTGAAGGTAAGCTGTCCACCTCAGTGCTCTTTCTAAGTTGTGAATACTTCACAGTACATGTTGTTGAACTCCATCATGTGCTGTGATGGAGTACTCGCTGCTCTGAGCCTAACCCCGCCCTGGCATCTGTAGTAGTAGTCTGCCACCCTGTTCCCTCCCTCCCTGGGTGCCTTTTAAGTGCCAAGTCCTTATAAGGATCAGGGTGACAATAGGGAGTCTCTGTAGGTAAGAAAACGCCAGGACTGGCACATGCTTTTAGTCCCAGCAATCCAGGGGCAGAGGCAGGCAGATTTCTGAGTTTGAGGCCAGTCAGGGCTACATAGTGAGACCCTGTCTCAAAAAAAACAAAACACAACCAAAGCAAACCAAATCAAAAAACCCCACCAAAACAACAAAAGAAAAAACAGCTAGTGCCATTCCAGGGCCACATGGTCTACAGACGTTGGGCACACAAGGGCTGGGCTACTTGTCTCTTTTCTTGACCTTGAGAACTGTTTCTGTCTGGCCAGCATGTCCACCCCCTACTCACTTGGCATATGAGGAGTCCCCGAGGCCTAGGACAGCAAAGTCCATCTGACAGAGGGAGGTAGATGGCAGGCTTTTCCGGAATATGAACCTCCAGAAGTTCTGTAGCCACAGGAAACCATGTTAGGACTCCAGCTCAGGCTGGTCTTCTGTCTACAGCCCCAGCAGGGAGAGGATGATATGGAGAGATCTTTAATAACAGGCTAGAACTGTACATTGGCCAATCTGGATGTCTCTCCTTTGCATGGTGCGAATTATATACCACGAAACCTCACACAAAGAACACTTACCCTAACTGTGGAAGTACTTCTACAGGGAGACCCATAGCTCAATGCCCTTTGCTACAGGTAGTATTCTAGTTAGTAACCAGCCTGCCACCCTCTTTCAGTGTACTTTTAACTATTCTTATCCCGACCTAAGTGAATTCACTCACTGTCTACCAATTGCTTCCCTACTACTATCATGGTTAGATCAGCCAGTCTACTACAGGTCAGAGATGGGCTGTGTTCTGCCTGTCTGAAGATACCGATTCATTCATGCCCTGCTGGGCACATTATATGTTGAAAACCAGCCCCCTCAAGCCTTGGGCTAACACCAGGTCCTGCCAGCTTGGTGAGAAGCCAGTGCCACCTGCTTCCTGCTATTTGTCCTGTCAGCCACTAGGCCATGCTTTGTTCCTAACAGCTAAACCCACACTCTGTGGGTGTCCTTTTAGTCTCAGCAGGGCCCTCTGTGAGCATGTGGCTATTGTTTCAAGCTGGAGTCTTGTCTGTAGGTTCTGGGACATGGTTACTTTCCTTGATAACCTGCCTACTGTCTTTCTCATTTTGGCACTCCTGGCATGATCTTTAAGTTTTGCAATTTCTTTTTCTCTACTTTTTGACTTGTTCTTTGATACAGTTCCTAAGAAAACTTAGTCAGCTGTATCTTCCATCCCATTAAAGATCTTTTCTTGCTCTTCCAGCTCTGCCCTACTTTGGTAGTGGCCTTGCCGCAAGGATACTACATCCACTTGGGAGTTCTATTTATCACTGCCTTTGACTGAGGTCTTTAAGCCGGGTGTGTGTGTGTGCGTTCGTTCTATCTGTACTCACAAAGCTGATGGAAAACATCAAGGACACACCTGTAACCCAATGAGTTTCACCATTAGGGATGGGCAAGGACCTGCCTGTTGGACCTTTGCTTATGATTCCACAGCATTTTATTTTATTTAAAAAAAAATTACAGTTTTAATGTGTACAAGTGTATTGCTTGCATGTACTGCACCTGTGCTGTGCAATGCCCATGGAGGTCAGAAGAGGGCATTGGATCCTTTGGAACTGGAGTCACAGACATTTGTTAGCGGCTGCCATGTAGGTGCTGGGAATAGAACTCAGGTCTTCTGGGAGAGCAGCCAGTGCTCTTAACCACTGAGCCACCTCTCCAGCACCTCCATAGTTTTTGTTTGTTTGTTTTGTTTTTTGGTCTTTTTGAGACAGGTTCTCTCTGTAGCCCCAGCTGGCCTGGAATTCACTATGTAGACCAGGCTGGCCTTGAACTCACAGAGATCCACCTATCTCTGCCTCCTGAGTGCTGGGACTAAAGGCATGCACCCACCTCCATACCCACTTCATAGCTAATTTTTATTTAATTACCTTCTTTTTCTTTTCTTTTTTTTTTTTTGGTGTTTTGCTTTTTCTTTTCTTTTATTTTTATGTGTATGTGTGTATTGCCTGCATGTAGGTAAGTGCACCTGTGTGCAAGGCCCTCGGAGGACAGAAGAGACTGTCTGATCCCCTGGAACCGGAGTTACAGACGGTCGTTAGTTGCCATGTGGGTGGGTGCTAGGATTTGAACCCAGGTCTTCTGTAAGAACAGCCAGTGTTCTTAACAGCTGAGCCATCTCTCCAGCCCCTGTTTTGCTTTTTCTTAAGAGAGGGTCTTCCTGTAGCTCCAGCTAGCCTGAAACTCCCTATGTAGACCAGGCTGGCCTTGAACTCACAGAGATCCACTTGCCTCTCCCTCCCAAGTGCTGGGATTAAAGGAATGTAACACCATTCTTGGTTTACTTATTTTTTAAGATGGGGTCATGGGGCTGGAGAGATGGCTTAGCAGTTAAGAAGAATACTGTTCGTGCAGAGGACCTGGGTTTGAATCCCAGCACCCACATGGCAGCTAACAATTGTCTGCAACTCCAGTTCCAGGGGATCCAACAGCCTCTTCTTTCTTCCACAGGCATTGCACAACACAGGCGCACTTACCTACATGCAAACAATATAGGCATACACGTAAAATAAAAATAATATTAAAAAAAAAAAGCAGTAGTTGCTCTTCCACAGGACCCAGGTTCAGTTTCCAGCACCCACATGGTAGCTAACAACATCCTTAACTCCAGTTCCAGGGGATCCGACACCCCTTTCCTGGTCTCCTTGCATGGTAAGAGTGTACTTACATATATGCAGGCAAGCTACTCATACACATAAAATAAAAATACATCAAGAAAAAATTTAAAAGACAGGGTCTTGTTTGAGCCTGGCCACAGACTCATGGTCTTCCTGCTTCAACCTCTGAAGTACTGGGATTGCAAGTATGTGCCACCATACATGGCTGGGGTAGGTTTTGTTTTGAGATAACTTGTCATGTAGATGAGGGCACCCTTGAACTCCTGATCCTCATGTTTCAGCTTTTCTAGTGCTGTTGATTACACCACTTGAGCACCTCTTCCTGGTGGTGGGAATTCTCTAGCACTGTTCTTGCTCTTTGTAGACAGGTACTAATGCGTGCCACAGTGTCAACCGTCAACCCACAGTTCTTCACTCTTCCCCCCCCCACACACACTCTGTGGCTTGGCTATCCTGAACTTTCTGCTCTTCACACAGGCTAGACTGCCTTCTGTACAGGCTGCTCCCTTTTCTGTGTCCAGCCTCCACCCACCCTCAGGACTGAACCTATGCTTCTTCCAGAAAGTTGTGCCTCATCCCCCTAACTCCCAGATCCTACCTGGCTCTTCCTCAGCATCAGGTATTTCCTGGTATAACTGACCATTACTCCTGCTGGTTTTTTTGAGTATATGCTTCATGAAGGTGGAAATGTGGCTGCTGGGTTCATGGTTGGGCTCCTAGGACTGGATGGTGCCAGAGAAGCTAAAGAATTTGCCCTTGGCAGGGCGTCGTGGTGTACGCCTTTAATCCCAGCACTCAGGAGGCAGAGGCAGGCGGATCTCTGTAAGTCCCGAGTTCAAGGCCAGCCTAGTCTATACAGCTGAGGCTACAGGGAGAGCCTATCTCAAAAAGACCAAAATAAAAAGAATTTTCCCTTTCTGACCTCCACCGGCATTGCACAACACGGGTGCACTTGTATACATGCAGGCATAACACTCATGCACATTAAATGAGACAATAATAATAACAAAAACCAGTATCTCTCGAAGCTACCTCTTACATGCAATCATGTATTGAAGGGTAGCCATTTCCTGTACACCTTGGGACTCTCAAGGCACCTCTCAACCAGGTGAGGGTACACATCAAGCCAGCCTTACCTTCATGTTGTCAGGAGGGTCTCCTTGGCCTGTGGTCGCACAAACAAATATCACCAAAGGTTCCTTAATCAGATCCGCCTCACGGACAAAACACAGGTATGAGTCAGTTCTCTGGCTGCCAAGATCGGGCCCCCTCCCTTTCTTTACTCCTCCTTCACCCCGGTGACAGGGCAAAGGCCTGGAGGAACCCCGGCGGCATCCAGGCCTCTCTCTTAGGCCTCAGCCTCATTGCCAAGCCTTTCCTTCCCTTAAATCCGCCGGAGCTAAGGTCGGCACTCTGGCAGCCCCCACCACCAGACCTCGCCAAGTCTGCGCACAGCCCAAGTCTCACCACCGCGTAGGCGTCCAGCGCCTGCACGCGGCAGCCCATACGCCGCCGCCGGGCCTCGCGGCGCAGCCTCTCTGCCTGGTCCTCAGCTGTGCCAGTCTGGCTGCCGAAGAGCACCAGGAGCTGGGGGGCCCGCATCTCGATCCACGCCGGCCGGCCAGCCGCACAACCGCCACCGACTTCCTCCTTCCACCGCCTACCGGAAGTGACGCATTCCGGCCGCGCCGCCGGGGCATGGCGTGCGGGCGCGGCGGTCGACCGCTGGCGGCTGGTACAGGCTACCCTGTCCGAGACGGAGGAGCGGAGGAGCGGCGGGACTGGGGGTCGGGGTGGACGTGGAGGTCGCGGCGGGCGCCAGCCAGGCCCGCGGACGGAGGGGGCGCGGCCGCGTGTGCGCCACTGGGGTCTGGGCTGCGGCCCTTGGCCCGCTGGCGCGATGCTGTTCTCGCTGCGGGAGCTAGTGCAGTGGCTGGGCTTCGCCACCTTTGAGATCTTCGTGCACCTGCTGGCGCTGCTGGTGTTCTCCGTGCTGTTGGCGCTGCGAGTGGACGGCCTGGCTTCGGGCCTGTCGTGGTGGAACGTGTTCGTGCCTTTCTTCGCGGCCGACGGGCTCAGCACCTACTTCACCACCATCGTGTCGGTGCGCCTCTTCCAAGACGGGGAGAAGAGGTTGGCTGTGCTGCGCCTCTTCTGGGTCCTGACAGTCCTGAGCCTTAAGTTTGTCTTTGAGATGCTGCTGTGCCAGAAGCTGGTGGAGCAGACTCGAGAGCTCTGGTTCGGCCTGATCACGTCTCCAGTCTTCATTCTCCTGCAGCTGCTCATGATCCGCGCTTGTCGGGTCAACTAGCCTTGGGCCAGGCAGAAGACGGAGCACAGCCCAGCCGGAGTGCTAGACCTCCCGGTGCAGGCCCTACTTGATACCACACTGGAAGAGAGGTTTGGTCTGAAGGCAGTTTCTGCTTGTGCCCAGTTTAGTGTCCGGTTTTCTCTGTCTGAGATTGTTTCCTCAGCAGGACTTAGAAGTGCAGTCTTGATTATAAAATTTATTTCCTGTTATTCATGCTCTGAGGTGCCAGGTATATTGAACTCCGCTGACAGATGGAAACTGTAAATGTATAATGTATAATAAGTAAATGTTCTGATGGGCTCTGAATATTTCCCGTGGTGATGTACTCCTTTACAAAGCGGCTTGTTCAGCCAGCAGCACTAACCTAAGAGCTTACCTCTATCTGTCCAGACCAGACTTCTTTTATGGTTGAGCTCTGAAAATGTAACAGAGTTGCATCTCTCCTGTGTCTTGGGTAAGAATGGACTGTTCTTCATCCATCCAGGCAGAGACAGCAGAATGTTGGATATCTTTGATCTGCGAAAAGAACTCTGGTCCCAAGGCATTGCTTGGTTTCCTGGACCAACAGGCTACAGTTTCACAGACTTTTCCACCATCTGTGGCAGGCACCATTAGTGCATCTGAGAGAGGCCTCCCTAAGGGACCAGAGACAGGAACAGGTGCTCTGATGCTCATGGGCATGAAGTCCTATTCATGGGAGCTTGCGAACAGCCTGGGTGTACTGGCCTAAGATCTTTGGTTTTATGTTGTTCAGGTGCCAAATGAGAACATTTGCTGAGATGGAAAAAACATACTTCTTGAAATCAAAATTGTGCTTGGACTTCTCAGTATTTGAGTAAGATGAATGCTGAGATGCTCCTTGACATATGAATGACTGGTCAGAGTTGAGGTTGTAGGTGCACCAGGATGTCTGGCTAGAGCATGATGGGTGGTAAGGGACTATTTTTGGAAAGTTCCTGTTTCTTGTGTTAGGAGATGAGCAACTTGCACACACATATCTCCAGCTGGAAAAAACAGATTCCACTTTCTAGAGTTTATGTGACACCAGAACTCTTGGCTTTTTGCTGATGTGTGTTCATTGGTGAGCCCTGATGGCACCCTGTCAAGGAGAGATGACAAACAATGGCCTGAGGCCTATTTTTATATGGCCCATGAGATGAGAATGGTTTTTACATAATTCTTTATTGTAGCCAGGCTTGGTGGTGCACACCTTTAGTCCCAGCATTTGGGAGGCAGAGGCAGGCCTGGTCTACATAGTGAGTTCCAGGCCAGCTGGGGCTACTGGGAGACCCTGTTTCAAAAAGACAAGAAAAAAACAAAATTTTATTGTGTGTATGAGTGTTTTCCCTGCATGTAAGTATGTGCAATCCCTGAAGACGCCAGAAGAGGGCATCAGATCTTCTGGAACTGGAATTAGAATGATTGTTAGCCACCATGTGGTTGTAGAGAACTGGATCAGTGCTCTTTAACTTCTGAGCCATCTCTCCAGCCCCTCCATATTTTAAGAAATATTTTATTCTGGGGTGTGGTGGCACATGCCTTTAATCCCAGTGCTCGGGAGGCAGAGGCAGGTGGATCTCTGTGAGTTCGAGGCCAGCCTGGTCTACATAGCGAGTTCCAGACCAGCTGTAGCTACAGGAAGACCCTATCTCAAGAAGAAGAACAACAAAAAAGAACAAAAAAAAGAAATATTTTATTATTTTATTTTATGTGTATGAGTGTTTGAGTTGCATGTATGTATGTATGTATGTATGTGCACTGCACCTATGTTGTACAATGCTTGCAGAGGTCAAAAGAGGGTGTTGGATGCCCTGGAACTGGAGTTAGAACAGTTGTTAGCCACCATGTGGGTGCTGGGAATCGAACCTGGGTCCTCTGCAAGAGCAGCCAGTGCTCTTAACCACTGAGCCATCTCTCCAAACCATATGTGTGTGTGTGTGTGTGTGTGTGTAATTTTTTTTTCTTGAGAGTGTCTCATGGAGCCAAGACTGGCCTCACTCTTGCTGTGTAGTGAAGGATGACCTTAAATGTCTGACCCTCCTGCCTCTATCTCCCAAGAACTGGGATTACAGGTGTATGCCACTACACCAGTTTTATGTGGTTCTGATGAAACCCAGGGCATCATGCATGCTAGGTAAGCTTTTACCAACTATGTTTTTTTCTTTCTTTTTTTTGCCTTTTTGAGACAGGGTCTCCCTGCAGCCTCAGCTGTCCTAGAACTCACTATGTAGACCAGAGCCTCGATCTCACAGAGATCTGCCTGCCTCTGCCTCCTGAGTGCTGGGACTACAGGCGTGCACCACCATGCCTGGCTTACCAACCATGGTTTTGTTTTATTTGGTCTTTTTGAGACAGGGTCTCTCTGTAGCCCCAGCTGTCCTGGAACTCACTATGTAGACCAGGCTGGCCTTGAACTCACAGAGATCCGCCTGCCTCTGCCTCCCAAGTGCTGGGACTACAGGCGTGCGCCACTGCGCCTGGCTTCCAATTATGGTTTTTACATTAAAAAAATTATATTTATTTTGTATGTACGTGTGTGTGTGTATGTGTGAGAGTACAGGTGCAGGTGTGTGCCGGAGTGTGCATGGAAGTGCTTTCTTGCCACCCTGTGGGATCCAGGGATCAAACTTAGGTAGTCAGGCCTGTTTGAAAATGACTTTACCTGCTTAGCCATCTCACTGGGTTTAGTTTTTACTTTTTTATTTTTGGGGGGGAGGGGTTTGGGACAGGGTCTCCCTGTAGCCCCAGCTGGCCTGGAACTCACTATGTAGACCAGGCTGGCCTTGATCTCATAGAGATCTGCCTGCCTCTGCCTTCTGAGTGCTGGAATTAAGGCGAGTGCCACCACACCTGACTTGTAGTGTAGTT